TTTGGTACAGTTACCATAGCCGTAGTGGACGAGACCCCGGTGTACCTGGTCGAAATACACGCTCATATCCACTTGGGCCTGGACTGGCGCGGATGAAGAGAGTGCTGCAAAGATAGTATCTGGATATCTTGCTCGAGTGAATGCGGCCCGCATTCCGGCATAGGAACCTCCAATCATAATCCATGGAGTTCCTTTGGGTGTTAAATCCTGGTCTGGAAAAGCATCCCGCCTGAATGTTTTCGCAAAATAGGGAAGATCAGCCAAAGCTTGGTCGTTATTAAGATATTGAAACTCGAGAGCAGTGGTGTTTTTATTTATTGGAAATGGTGTTGACTGGCCATAGTATCTTTGCTGGCTGGTTAGCTTATCATTTTTTACTCAACGGGCTGAAGGACTAGGAGGGAAAGGTTGTTTTAAGATTGTGTAGGGGGAATCCAAAGAAGATTGAAATGGATAGTATAAAAAAGACAAAATAAAGTCCTCGTACCGATGTTCAAAAACAATACCGATCCCCTCGAACTTATCAACCAATTGTTTGAAAAACGAGAATCGGTTTATAAGATAATAATTCGCATATGATTGACCATCAGCTTCGCCAACGTCAAACACAAAGACCGGGCCGCCAGGTTTGTAGCTCTGCTCGTTCACCCAATAACGGTGTTTGTATGTCCCTAATTTCGGGTTTTTGTGATCAAGAGGCATCTAAAAATGTAGCGAAAAGGTCATTGGTTTATGTTAAAATCACTGGCCCGACACTCAAATTTTAGAAGAAGGGGTATGCAGCATGGGTAAATCCACATGAATCTACGTACATCGGTCCGTAGCCCTATCAGCGGGTTCACATTGCTGGAGCTAAAAGTCATGAATTTATCGCTTGGGTTGCTTGGATCGTTTGGTTCAAGCTTCTCCAGGTCGTCTATTTTGACGCCCAACAACCCTGCTAATTCATAGTCATGAGCTAGATTCGAGAACCCGATCCCAATTGTTGAACCTAGTCCAAGGAAGAGGGAAAGGGTAGATCCACGGAGAAACCAACTGGAAAGCTTCATTGTGTGACCCAATGATGTGGGATATATATTAAATAAACCTTTCTAATTGTGCAGATAGCATGGGGTTGTAAACCACACAGGAGGGCAGATGTTGTTGTATGGGAAAGCATAGATGGTTATATAGGAAAACCAGTGGAGGGGTTGCATTACTCAGGCCAGGGATGCCCTCAAGGTTGTCAGAAACCTATGAACCCCGCTCGGATTCGAACCTATAGAGGGCTGACGTATCTGATTCACTGAATGCTTCATAAGATAGGACACGAAAGAGTGAGTCCAAGACCCTATTTCCGGGACTGCCAGGGGCTAGAATTTAAATAGGCCGGAGGTAAGAGCCTGCAATATATATAAAAACGCCATGATCATATCCATACCCTGTCGAGATGGTATCCATGTATCAATCCGTCGCGTTAAAAACCGGGGCAGAGTGTCCGTGATATCTGGCATAATTGGGCGCTGAAGTGAGGGGTGGTTCATCTGTGCCTGGATATACCAGGATATGCCACTTATCCATTGAGGCAACCCACGGCATTGATCTAATCCCTGCCGGTTGATCTGCAGAGGAACACTTCTGGCTCGCACTCAAGCTTTTCTAGTGCACGATGGCAAGGAACGGCGATGGAACCAGCCCAACTGCGGCAGGTGAATATACATACAATTGAAACTTATGCCAATTTCAAGAAATACTTACGTTTTGAGAAACGAACGCTGCCTCCTGTTTGGTTCTTGAGTGTATCAGATCAAAGCCTGGGCATAAAATGGAGTGGAAAAAAATTAATAAAGAAAATATGATGTTGACATCTGAATCTCAGATGAAAACTCCCTGGGTATCATCAACTTCCGAATGGAACCGGGTTTATAAATTGAAAGTGGCAACCTTCAACTGGGCTGAACAGTGCGATCGCGGCCTATACCGCTTGCCAGAGGTACAGCAAGCGAAAAATATCTAATCTATACCATCAAGAAAGTGGGAACTATGGCTTGAGCGGGAAAAGCGAATCCTGGGGACGCTGTTACATCCAGGTCATCTGAACTCGGTTGCACGTTCGTGAACCTTCAATTTGGATCGACAGCAGAAACGATATAAGAACATTAATATAAACATTAAGCCCGAAACAACCGATGAAGCCAACGAGGCCGTAATCTATATACCAGGGGTGTTTCATACTGAGGTCGGTGGCGGTCCTGGACTTTTGTCTGGAGTCGCATGGGAGCCTGAGCAACGAAGGAACATCCTTGCTGGTCCCTAACGAGCCAACCTGGTCCAACGTAACAATAATGTTCCGACATCCCAGAGCATCAGCTGATTGCCCAGCTGTCGTATTGAAGGCCTGGAAAGAGTTGTTTTCGATTTGGGCTTGGGATTATGTGTAGAAATAAGAGGAATTGAACTAGTATATTATGGCTGCTGTCGCTGCTTAAATCCGGGGCGCCAGGAAGAATGTCGCCCCCTCCCCCCTTCTCTCCCCGTTAAAAGAGGCAGGCCATAAAGGCCCTGGAACTAGATTGATTGCCTCCGGATCATAGATGAGGCCATTCACATGGCGAAACCCCTAGGGATCAGGATTGATTTACCAAAACCAACCCATGCAAATTACCTGCTGCCCTTGAAATGTGGCCACACCGTATCCAATTCCGTATTATCATGTCCATGCTCGAGGATTATTCCAGCTTATCCAAATGTTCCAACCGCGTCAAGACGACCTGCTTGCTCGTTTCTTCGATTTCGCCAGCAAGAAATACCTCATCGAGAATCGCGTACACCTGTAAATCGAAGCGAAAAAGAATTAGTCGAGCGCTTTTAGTAGATATTCACCAACTTCACATGTGTGTATATAGCAAAATATTTAGAAAGCTGTTCTTTACGATGCGTACCTTGTAGAAATTAAACACTAGATCCAGCTCGCAGACATTCCCGAAAAACTGGTCTAGCACTTCGACAAAGAAATGAATGGCTTCCAGGTAGGCTAGCTCATTGTCATTCGCGTCAACACAGACACAGAAAAACAGACCAGCGTAACGTCTGTAGACTATTTTTGTGCTGCGTTTAAACTCGACAAAGTTGGATTGATATTTCTGGTCTCGGGGGGCAATCAGGCGGTGCACCTACTCAGGATTCACGTTCGGTTAATTTTCCGAGATAGATTAGAAAAAATCCCCTCATAGTAATCTGATAAGGAGGCCATATCGTGGGTTTCTAGGATATATTTTTATCTTGCAGTAGCAGTTCGTACCTCGCCTTTCAACCTCACTTTCTCGTCATCCTAGTCGGGTTGCCGCCCAAAGTTAGATAAACCCGTAAATAGCACCGGAGATAAACAATTAGGGAATTGAAAACCTTACATTGTATGGCGCGTACCACTTCGCTAGACGGGTTTTACCTCTGGTTCCGATGCAATTGCATTAATGACAGACAGCCTGGCGCCAGGATGGCTGATAGGAGGCACTCACTGTCTGTTCTGGACCAGGATGAATGAAAGAACCATGCCTTGACAAGCTGGGTGAAGGGCATAAACCCTTTCACTTCACGTTGCGCAGTGCAGTAGGAATCGAGATATATAGACAGATAGATGATGTTGTCCTGCCCGTAGGTTGGAGCTTCTGGCTTTCGAGCCGGAGACGGAGGAAACAGTCGCCAAGCCTGCTTCCGCGATCACATACAAAGTATCAAAAAACCAGATCAATTCAGTTCAATTAGATTCGGTTATATTATCTTATAATATTAATATATTTAATTCTTTTGAGCAATGAGGACGTACCTAATGACGTGCGTATTCGCTTAAGAATAGAATCAATCATAGGCTAACTACATGCATATACGACAATCGGTATACATCAATCCGATTCACAGGCATTTGATCCGGATATTGTCAAATTGCAACTGACTAATTAATGAATACAAGTAAGAGGGGTATAGATATTGCGCGCGGGCACTATGTGCTTTAAACAAACGTTCTGGTAATCCAATTCGTTAACAAGTTGCCTCCAAGTCATTCCTCCTCTTCCTCTTCTTCTTCTCCCTCTTCCGAATCCTCTTCTGATTTTGGGAATGCTCTCTCTGGGTCTCCGTTGTATACTAGCCACCAACTGATCTTCTCGTCTGGGGCCAGGAAATCTCGAAGCCGCACAAATGCCTCGGACGCTCCTGTCGATAGACCAGATCCTTGATTCATCGCCTCTTGCGCGTCTAGGCTGAGAACCCGACTCCCTACGGGTTGCGAAGTGTCTCCAATCTTAAAAACCTTTGCACACACGTAAGCATATGGTTGACTGAGTGCTGAATCCCCTAGATTATCGGGATCGTAGGGTTCAATAATTTGAAGGTCGGGGAGGTGGTAGGGGATATTGGGGTCAATTCGGCGGAACGATTGTAAGACTGTTTTCTCAGTAACTGGTTCCTGGAGGTATTCGGTGTTTGCATCAAGAAGATTGTATGAAACTATGTGAGCGCAGATTCCTGGCGCTCTGTTGGGGCCGATGCGTGGCCAGCGAAACCCATAAACAAAGTATACTACCATGGCGAATAAGTATCGTGAAGCATGGAAAAATGATTTAGCGAAAGAAGTACTGAAGAAGCAAGTTTTTGTTGTCCGTTACCTTTCCATTGAGTAGTTATGTAGAGAACTTCTGGGATCGAGAAGTAGATGTAGTGAGTTTCTTGATAATAAGTAACTGGTGAGCGGGGTTAACCAATTCTGGTACAGAGTAGCACGTGATACACCGTTCTTGAACCAAGCATTGATGCTTCAATGAGAGTGGGTTGATAGGAAAAGCACACGATAATAATGTATGGTTTAATACTACCAGAATGAAGCAGTTAATATTGAATTACTATTCGATCGCGATTTTCGAATTTTAAGTCTGTTAAAGTGGTTTAATGATGGGAAAAGTGGGTAGTTAAATTTTTCAATGGAACCATATATACAAACGTGGACCTCCAATCTTCCAGACAATGGCCGGCTGGCCCAATTGGCAAGGCGTCTGACTACGACTTCATTCGAAGAAACCAGTAATCAGGAGATTTTGGGTTCGAGCCCCAAGTTGGTCATTTTTTTTTTTTTTGTTCATATTTTTCGTTTCATCATCCAACAAAACACGCGCATATTTTAAATTATATATTTTAATTAGTCTATCTCTTTTGTACAAAGATGGTTTGAAAGTCATACATATATCATCATCTATTTAGATCCATAATTTTTGGCCCACGACTCATCAAATACTGCAGTGTTTAAAGCAAACCGACGGATGAAATCCCTCTCTAATTCGTGCGTTTTGTTACCCAGAAGCACCAAGGAGTGTAGCGGTGGCCCCAAATCGCTTGTACTGAGTTCCTGTAGGGTCCCAACTGCAAGTTTCTGGTCTGACGAGCCCACTCTGGCAGCTCCGATGGCAAGACTATCCGGTCCATATACACCTTCCTGCCTCTCCGCTTCTGTTTCAATCATCTGTGCAGCGCATTGCGCGACAGTCATGTATCTGGGAGGCTCGTATATCCTCCTCCCTCTCGCCATGTTTTCCTCGGATTGCTCCTTTACTTTAATATCAAGTAAAACTAAAGTGTGTTGTCCGAACTGGGCGTTCTCTTTTATCCGGTCGTAGTAAGAGGATGGTTTCCATGTTTCGGTGAAAAACACCATGCTTACGGTCTGTCCGAAATTGTACAGCTGCAAGCCAGTGCAGCCGATGGCGGACATAATTGAGGCATTGGGTATTGTCCGTGTTTCAATTCCTAATTCGTAGGCGCGGAGGGCAAGGTCGGAGTGTGTGGTGGCTCTATCACAGATCCAAGTTAGCAGGAATTAATTACCGATTCGACCAAATGACAGAAATAAATTCAACACACCCAAATGGATCACCAACAACAAGGAAGGCAACATCTACTTTATCGGCATTCTCTAAAATATCATCACTACTGGATTCGACCATCTCACGGTCTGCGACAATCACCGGCCGTCCATAGAAGGCTTCCTAAATTGGATCAGCTTCTTAGTACTCCAAAATCAGAATGGAGGGGTGATAAATAGATACACACAAGTTTGGTTGTGTCTACAAGCAAAATGCTGGTGTAGGCTTCTAGATAGACGCGTTCGGCCCTTTTGACTACCTCCAAGCCCTTCACCGTGATGTCGGTCTCATCTGCAAGCCCCAATCCCACTAAGTACAGCATGATGGCAAGGAAATTGCAGATGCTAGATGTATTTCTTTCAATGAATGAATTAACTAAATCATTAACCAGTGTATCTACTCCTCAAAGCTCCTCACAAGCATTTCAACGTGGGGTAATTTCACCAACCCCCACCACCACAGCCAGCGCTGACTCAGCCATGTTTTCTTTGGCTGGCACGTGACTTCAACTCTTCCTCCTCCTCCTCTCTTGCTTCAATAACCAGCGGTAATAGTTAACTAGTGGTTAACTTATAAGACAGCTAGATCAACGCCTTGGATGCTATTATTTGGTTAAATAGTCCGGTCCTTAATTTTTGGCCCACCATGGCGGAACGAACGGCCAAATACCGCCAGGAAATCCAGCAGGTGGGTTCTACTTTTTATTTAGTCTTCGCCATACTTGCTTGCTCAGAGTCCATTTCGTCATCCATTATCCTTCACTTCAAAACGGCATAGAAGGCGTTATAGCTTTATATGGAGGATGGTTCATAAGAAGGTCCCTTAGCTGCAGCTTATGGGGCGCCGTCAGAATAATTGAGGAATCTGTCCAACGTCTAGAAGCTTTGAACTATCCTCCTATCTACTCCAAAATAATTGGGATGCGCCGCTATTTGAAGCATTCATATACTTATTGTATTCGAGATTGGGCCTGACATGATCCTAATTCAGACCGACCTAATGGCATATATCATGAATGCTAATATTTATCACCTAGATGATGTTCGTCTCTGGCGAAACAGGGGAGGCATCCGTCGAGACAACCACACTCATTGAAGAAATAGTTCGCCAGCAGGTAGTAGAAATGGTTGGTCTCCTATCCCCTATATTTTATTCATTTTATTTTCCCCTCTATTGATGTGCTAACAGGCATTCATAGCTCTCGCGGAGCACAATTCTCGCGGCACGTCGTGGTGTGCGTTCCATATCCACCGACGATCTTTTCTTCCTCATACGTCATGATAAGGCGAAGGTTTCCAGGCTAAAAACCTTTCTTTCCTGGAAAGATGTCCGGAAAAATGTAAAGGATTCCGATGATAAAGGCGGCACGGATGCGGCAGACTTCGGCGCCGGTGACGATGCGCTCGTCGCTTCTGGCGTAGCCGGGCCCCAGGATGTTACTGCAAAGCCCAAGAACAGACGTGCTAAAATCGGTCTTCCATGGGATCTCAACAGTCTCTATTCCATCCAAGTACCAGAACGAGAAGAGGAGGATGACGAGGAAGAGGAAGAACAAAATTATGCCACACTGCAACGGCTAGCCACTGCCGACGAACGGACAAAAAATATGACTCGCGAGGAATATGTTTTCTGGTCGGATTGTCGACAAGCTTCATTTACCTTCCGAAAAGCGAAAAGGTTCCGAGAATGGGCAGGATTTGGCATCGTCACGGATTTTAAACCAAACGACGATATCGTTGATATTCTAGGGTTTCTTACGTTTGAAATCGTGCAAACTTTGACGGAAGAGGCGTTGAGAGCTAAAGAACATGAAGATCGTGGTAAAAAGGGTCTCGGCTCCTCTGAAGATGGCTCAGGTGAGAAGAATAAGAAAAGGAAGAGGGAGACGGGGCTTTTCGACCCCCCGGAGGAAGGACGGACGCCTATCGAACCAAGACATGTCCACGAAGCTTATCGAAAGCTCCAAGCAACCCAAAACAAAACAGTTGCTATGTTCCTTCGTGGTGGACGTGCCCCCATCCGAACCCCTCTGCGACTGGTAAGTTTGTTTCATTTCTTCCAGATGTGGTTCTGTTTGAGTCCTGCTGACAACTTCGCAAAATGCTAGATTTAAAATTCTACGAATAGAATCCCTATATACCTGCATTAGTTTATTTATTAGTTTTGGAGTTGGTAACTTTTGAGATTTGGAGTCTGGTTATTGGATATACCCTAGGGATTGAATCGAATCGAATACAAACGGGACTCCGTTTCCTTGTTCCTGTCTTTTTTTTTTTAGCTTGCTATTTCGAGAATTGCCTGTAGACTTAGAAGGATATCGAATTTTTTTGGGGGTTCATCTTTATTATCTAGTTATAAGCAGTTATGATTTTTCAAATGCCGAATAATTCTCAAGCTGCCTAAGTGTGCAGGCTTTTCAAAACATTTTCTAACGCTGACAGAAACTTGGTTGTTTCCTCCTTTGTCCCGACTGTAATCCTCAATCCTCCAGTACAGCCAAACTCCTTCCCCCGAAACCTTACCACAACGCCTTTACTCTCCGCCAGCGATTGATACACCGTTTGCGCAACTTCATTGCACGGACTTCCTCCAGGCTTATTCAGAATCTCCAGCAGCAGAAAGTTCGAGTCTGTCCCACCCAAAAACCGTCCCACCCCAGGGATCCGTGGCAACTCCTCCAGCATCCGTTTCCGCTGCACCATTAACTTATCCCGATTCGCTCGCATGGCCACCAGGCCTTCTGGCGAAAGGGCAGCAGTAGCTAGCGCACTTGTAGGACTAGCTATATTGTAGGGCGCCTTCATGCTATTTAGGAGGCGGGCTATGTCCGGGCTGGTGAAGGCTGCCCCTAGACGTATGCCAGCCAAGCCAAATGCCTTGCTCAGGGTCTGCATTACTACAAGGTTGGGCCATTCTGTGACCCATTCAGCGAGACTGGACCCTTCAGGCGCAAAATCGATGTATGCTTCATCAACAATAACTATCCCGTTCCATGACGGGTGCTCGAGAACAGCCTGGATATGATTCTTTTGGATGAGGTTGGCGGTGGGGTTGCCGGGGGAGCAGATGTAGACAATTTTGATCGAGGGGTCGGCTGAAAGACTGAGGTTGATATCATCAGGGCGCAGCTGGAATCCACGGTCAGGGCAGAGAGGGACTTTGACAATGTCGACGTCGTTGATATGAGCGCTTACGGAGTACATTCCGTATGTGGGAGGACATGTCAGGATCTTGTCTTTGCCGGGTGTGCAGAAACATCGAATAAGGGCGTCAATCGCTTCATCGGATCCGACGCCGAGAAAGAGGTTGTCGGGCGTCAATTCTTTCTGGGTGTGAGTATGAGTGTTTCGGAGTTTACAGAAGAGCTGTTTTAGATCTCTCTGATGTCTATTATTGGAGCTAGTTAGGGATTGCTGGGTAGTTCTGGGAGTGGGGTGAGCGATAAGTTCAACTCACGGGTCAGGATATCGATGCAAGCCCAGGAAGTCAATGTCAGCAGGGCTAGCAGTACTTGGTGTGCCGGAATCTTTTGTGGCATTTGTAAATCGGCCTAGAGACAGTCCAGGTCCGTATGCGTTCTCGTTGGCGTCCAGAAGCACATTTGTTCCGTCATCCTTGTAGTCGCTGGAAGGAGGGGTTAACCAGCCAATGCTGAGCAAGGTGGGGAGATTAAGAATTGCTTACTCTCTAGCACACCGGTAAGGCTGTAAGTTGAGAATGTTAGGCCTTGCACATTTTGAAAGATCGAATGGAGAGTTAGTCGGCATTTTGACGCTGTTAACTCGTTCAATGGCCGTGAGATAGCACAGCAAAGTGTTGTTCGTTGCTTTTTAATACTCTGGATTGGGTTGAGTCAGATTTAAGTTCCATCTAAGAAATTCAGCATACAGAATAGTCACTGTAACATTACACAAAGAAGACACTAATAATGATGATTATGTTGTATTCCGAGAAGCTAAATAGTTCTAGATTTTTTTAATATTATATAGATATATGAAAAACTGTAGAAAATGATGTTTGCCAACCCAAAAGGAAGAGGTTGAAGCCCCGAAATGCTGGACAGCTATAGACCCAAGAGAAAAAGAAATATAGAAAGAAGGAGAGAAAAAAAGAAAGAAAGAAAGGGGAAAAAGAAATGAAAAAACTCCATTATACATGCCTATATAGCATGCACAAGTCTCTATCTGAGAGAGTCTTCCAATT